GTTTTAATAAGCAAAATACCCAGGGCTATTTTCGGGCAGGAACGCACAGGAACGGAGTTCTGGCTGGGTCCCAAGTTGGCCACGCCCAGCATGAACTCATTAGCATAATAGGCCACACCCAACAGCAAAAACCCATTAGGATTGGCTACATGAGGGGTGTGTGGCCTAACATGCAAGGGGTCCTTGCTACAAAAAAAAGCCCTGGGTTTTGACAACGAACAAGGTGAACAGAATAAGAGGCAAAAGGAACACGCGCACACGCAAAAAGAGAGAGAGAGAGAGAGAGAGAGAGAGAGAGAGAGAGAGAGAGAGAGAGAGAGAGAGAGAACTGTTTTGTTAGTCACTTTTGAGTCCCATTTGTGGGGACAAGTTGGGTACACGTGTTTTAATAAGCAAAATACCCAGGGCTATTTTCGGGCAGGAACGCACAGGAACGGAGTTCTGGCTGGGTCCCAAGTTGGCCACGCCCAGCATGAACTCATTTGGGCTTTTTCTATCAAAAAAGCCCTGAAAATGCCTATTCAGCTACAATGGGATTGAAACCAGTGGTAGCTTTTTAAAGGGGCCACTTATTCGCACATGAACATTTGAAGCAACTTTATATCATCAGAATATTTAGGGGCAGGGTTTCCCCCACCAGCCAGCTGATCGGCGGTGGAGAGAAGCCCCTGAAACCCGGGAATCCCCCACTCAGACCTGGGGGCTGGCAACTCTATGCTGCCCCCACCATTCTATGTCAGAATTCCAAATGTGCCAGCAGGCCCAAAAAGGTGAGGGACCTCTGCTGCAAATGGATACGCTGGGAAATTGAAACTGGGACCTTCTGTGTGCAAAGCAGATACTCTACTGCACAGCCGCAGCCCCTCTCTTCACATCGCACCTGGAAGTGGACCCCAAATAACCGGTGTTTATTAAACACAAAAGGTTGTCAACAGGTTTATTTTTAAAGGAAATGCTTCTGTTGCAGAAAACCCAGACAAAAGGTTTTTTCGGGTGTTTTGGGAGGAAGATACGAACTGACAAACTGCTAGGAGCTATGTACGTCTTAAAACACAGTCCCAATTCAGTAAGATGCATTTAACTTGTGGACTGTTTTATATGTTACAAATCAAATTATAATAAGTCACACCTTAAAGACTGACACATTTATTGTGGTATAAACGTTTTTGAGACAGAGGCCCTTCACCAGTTGCCCATGGAAAAGTGAATTTTAACTCACAAAAACCATATGAT